GGGGTAACGTGTCATCACGTATACATGTCTTGTCTGACAGGGGTGCAGTTCTGACGGAGAGCACCAAAACGCCACTCCAGCACTTCAGAAATGGCAGTGCCCATAAGGAGCCGTACACATGCCGCAGTTTTTGCAGGGCTGTGTCTTTAGTTGAAAGCCCAGTGGCGATCTGTTCATCTGTTATACTGATCATACAGCCAATAACTTTGTTGTTATTAGCATCTGGTTAGCTAGCTATGCTAACGAATATAAGAAGCTTTTTCTACAACCAGTGAGGTAAAGACACATCTTTATATGATCATTATAGTTATAAAAAAATAAGAGAATAAAGTAAACAGGTATAAAATACTATATGACAGTAAAAAAAAGTTGTTATTAATAAACAAGAATACAGTTTGAAAGGGGAGTGATTTGTAAAATAAAGAGAAATAAATCTGCTTACAGTTGTGTTTCATATGAATGTTGAGAGATGTATCCATAGATCTCTTCATTTTGCTCTCAAAGTGCACCAGATTGATGCTTTTAACTGCAACATTTATAAAAAAATCTTCCCGGGAGAGCAACCCCTAGAGCAGGGGTACTCAAATACAAATCTTAAAGGTCCAAAATAAATGTTTCAATAAGACAAAGGTCCGTTTATTACGGTCATTCAAACTTTTAAACAATTGCAACAAGATTCTTAACACGAGGTTGCAAAAACAAAAATAATCTGTATGCAGCAGTTTTCATTGTTATTGTGTCTGTGCATGACCCCTCAGAGTTGCAGTGTGAGAGCTGCACAGTTATGAATAAAGGCAGCTGCACCCTCTTTCATTCAGCATTCCCATTATTGCTTTATAAATGTCTTGCCCCCTTGTGTGTCCACTGAGGTTCGTCAGGCCCAACACATCTTCAACAAACTCCCCCTTTGCCTCATCATAAAAACTCACAAACACCAGCAACTGAGCATTGTCAGTGGTGTCAGTGGACTCATCCACAGCTAAGGAAATGCACTGTGCATTTTTTATTCCATCACAAAGCTGATGAATCAAATCACCAGCCAGTATTTCCGTTCTTCTGGTTTCTGTGGAATCTGAGAGGGGGATTTGCTTGATTTGACCTGTTATTTCCTCTTTTTGTTTGCCTTCAACATGGTCTCCATCACTTCAGTCATGCATTCTTTTATACTGCAGTTATTATCCAGTGGAAAGTCCTTACCTACTGGCCTAGTTCAATCAAAGTGGTTACTTTTTTTTGGCTGGGCAGTGTAGTTTTAAACACCGTCTTATTTGACTTTCTCAGGACTTAAAACAGTTTTTTGGGGGCAGACCCCCTCAAAGAAAACAATATATTTACACACGTAAGGTCATCATCTTAACAGTTTTGTATGCTCATCCGTGAGCAGAGCATCAAGTTGACATGTCTATTACAGCTGAATGCGGCGATTACCATCTTGTTCAGCAAAACGCCTCACAAACGTATTAAGATCAACAGCTTTAGTGCGTTTTGATTCAATGCTGAGTACAGCCACACTGACAGTCTCTTCTCTGTCATTGTAGACCGCAAATACCTCATTCCTTCAGTGCTTGGGTCCGAATGCTTCTCGTTTTGCGCCGTCCAGTTCTAAATGAAATCGCCGCCAATCGTATGTCCACGCTCGCGCCAGGACCGGGGGAGGGGTTACATGACGTGCATCTTGTGCTGCATTCACTTGCCCTCGGACATTAGAGACTTTCTCTCATAAATGTCCGATGAGCCACAACTTTTCTTTCAAAACAAAGCTGCCAACTGGGGTGGCAGCTGGGGTGGCAAAGCCTATTTTTAGGGTGTCAGTTGCCACCCCGGTAGGTGAAACTAGGCTACTAGCTACAGTACAGATGGAACTTGATGAGCTGTTAACTCTCGCTCTGAATTTTTTTTTTTTTAATTCTCGCTCTGACTTAGACAGGTTGAAAGAGACACACACATTTTTCCCACCCGCATTCCGCGAAGACCCGCCCTACTGTGCCTCTGATTCGCAGATTGTTTGGGGGGAAAAAACGCTGACTGGATGCTGAATGTGATTGGACCAAAGCGTTGACAGTCAGACATGCAGAGCGCTGTTTGCAGTGGACATAGCGGAGAATTTCGACTCATTGCGAATGCGTTGTGGCGATGTCTCACATATAATACAGAGAGATAATACATAAGTGAATGAAAATGGATCATGTTCACATGGATAGGAAACTAAATACATTTGCACACATCTATCTTGTGTCCATATCTTTCTGTTTTGGTGGTCATGCCACAACCGTGCACGTGCATGCGCGAGTCATGGTAAGATATCTGGACTAAGAGGTTATTTTTCTTTGCACAGCATGAAAGAAAGGCCAAATTAAAATTAATGGGCTGTGATTTTAGTTTTTTTAAGCAGACGTCAATAATTTGTACGGCCCTCGAGGATGTTGAAATAATTGAAATGGCCCTTGAGAGGAAAAAGGTTCCCCACCCCTGATTTAGAGTGTGCTTAATATGTGGGTATGTGTGTATGGATGTATGTATGTTTGTGTGTGTTTTGCCCTCCTCTGGGCTGTCGGTGTGTGTAGCTGTTGATGACTAACGGTGTGCGAGGCACGCTGTCGTCTCTCAGGTCCAACAGCAACACACACGGCGAGGTTTTATGAGCCGTTTCCATGGCGATCAGTCCCCGGGCTGACGCTGCTGCAAGCCGTCAGTCATTGTAACAGACAAGAGTCAAGACCAGCTGTATTTCTTTCTAATGAACAGTAAATAGTGTGTGTGTGTGTGTGTGTGTGTGTGTGTGTGTGTGTCTTTGTGTTCTACCTTTCTACTTAATAAACTATCTTGACCCACATATTTACAATCGGAGCCTTATTAATTTAGATCTGGTCATCATTTCATTATCTATGATATTATGCAACTAATATTATTGTCTAAATGTTTAAATATGGGAATATAGTAACAAGTGTACCAGCTGTTAGACACAGCTTTAGCAAAGAAATCCCCTAGCAAGCATTACGATTAATCATGTCCAAAATCCCAGTTTTCATAACTACGTATTTGGAAATGGAAATACCCCTCAAGATCAGATTTTTTCCACACATTTTTATATTATATTAATATACTAATTACGTTTTTTTTTTATTTGAAAGCCACTATGTAACGTGTACATTTTTAAACACTTCACTGTTTTCTTATTATCATTAGTATTAATCAGGGGATATATCAGAATTATTTTAAAGTCTGATTGCCTCACCATTTGTTGCTGCTTCACCAGATCTCAGTATGAAATCAGGGAGATATTATCATACAAATTTACGTTCATGATACAAAAAAACACGACCTCATTGTGTCTGTCCTCCCTGTTAGAAATACATATCAGTTTATATGCTCGTCAAAGAGCAGTTGGAGTCCAATTGATCCTAAATAACCCACTAAGGGAGCGATTAATCCTGAGTGTGTTTATCTTGTTTCTGTCTTATTGGCTTTGCATCAAGCACCTGGTCACTGTCTGTTGTCTGCCAAACTCATAACATTTTCCTCAACAGGTAAAAGGAAACTTGGAAGCGGCTTTGATGTGTTAAATATGTTGATGACATTCTGTCCGTCACCTCACTCCCCCATCTCACACAGCTCCCCCTGCTTTAACTCACTGTGTGTGTGTTGTGTGTGTCTGTCTGTGTGCAACACAGGATATTACCACCGACTGCGGGCCACACTAGCTGGTTGATTCAAATTGTCACCTGCTGCAATAATTATTTAAACTGTATTTTTAGAAAAAATACAGTCTCCAAATGATTTTAAAGTAGTCTTGTGAGTATCATAAAAGCCTAAATTTGACCAGCATGTGGCCGGTGTTAATTTCCCTGTCTTTGTAAAGTGTTTATTTAAATCTTTTCTAGTCATGTCACAAATCTTGTAACACGGCTGGCACCATCTACAAGGTTCAGTAAGTGGCTGCAAGTAAATAATGCTTGAAGAGGAAAAGCAAACAACTTGTAAAAATGATTGTAGTAGATGAAGGTCATTTCTGCATTTGTTTCCAAATGAAGATTGCTAATGTGCCCACATTTTATCTACTGCGAGATGTTTTGGACTGCTTTACTTCACTTTAGCTAGAATTAAGACTCCAATACATTGGAGTTGCATCTCGCATTCAGTAAAAAAAAGAAGTTGTTTGCTAGATAACTGGATCATAAATGAATCAATATTACCTAGTTATATTACCTTGTGTACCTTGTAACTAAAATAAATGCTGACAGATGTACTTTTAGATTAAGTCCAAATTGCAAGACCGCCTTCCTATACACTATTTTAACGCCATACTAAGGACTTCAAACATGGCTGCCAGCTGGTTACACCCTTGTGTTTGTTACATGTTCACATATATCTCAGTCTCTTTCTCCTCACTATGTTTGTGCCATTTCCCCTCGGTGTCTTGTCGTGTGTGTGTGTGTGTGTGTGTGTGTGTGTGTGTGTGTGTGTGTGTGTGTGTGTGTGTGTGTGTGTGTGTGTGTGTGTGTGTGTGTGTGTGTGTGTGTGTGTGTGTGTGTGTGTGTGTGTGTGTGTGTGTGTGTGTGTGTGTGTGTGTGTGTGTGTGTGTGTGTGTGTGTGTGTGTGTGTACATCTGAATGTGTTGTGTGTGTGTGTGTGTCCCCTGTCCATCTTTGCTCCCCCCCACCCAGGCGGCTTGGCGTCTGCACTCCACCGATGGCACTCGTCCCAGCCTCAGAGCCACCTGGCACCTCTACCAAAGCGCCCTCTCCCCCCCCAGGCATGTATCCCCCCCACCAGCACCTCCACCTCCATCTCCGCCCCCACCTCCCTGCGACAACCCCCAACCAAATGCATCAAAACTACCCAAAAAAAACTAATCATTCTCTTATTTTTCTCCTTTCTCTCTTTCCTTTTCTCACTTCCTACCCAACTTATACTTTTCCCTCCCTCTACCCGTGTTTCCCTCCCTCACCTAATTGTTTTATTCATCGTTATTTTATTTATCTTTTCGACTCTGCACGTAGTGTGTCTGGCGTAGTTATGCTGCTGATGAGAACTCGGTTTCCATTGCTACCTGGAAGCCTCATTTGAAGGCGTTGCATACCTGCAGCCCCGCAAAGTAGGTAACAACTTACAGACTTACAAACATGGCCGCTGCCGCTCAGCCCCTCGCCTCCTCTCTGCTCCCTCACCTCCGCCTACTCCTCTCCATCGGTGTGGCTTCAACTCTCACTCTACTGTACGACTGACCGCATTGCAACCTTTCTTTCACAAGCTAATCTTTAGCAACCTTTTTTTTCCAACCTGGCATGGTTCGCTTAGCATACATGTTCTTTAACACCTTTTTAACATTAGAAATATTTAGACACATTTCTTTAATTGTATTATTATAGAAAATGCTCAGCCACGTTTTTTTGTTTACTTTCTTTACAAAAGTGGACACATTTCATTAGACACACATATGGCTTCTTATTTATTCACATTTTGTCTGGATTCAAGTTAATCAAATACTGTTAGTTTGTGATTTAGCTAGGGTTGAGCTACACCAACAATGTATGTTATATGCTTTATATATACAGTCTATGGTTATATGAGGTCAATAGATCACTAATATTTACAATAAAGCATATTACTTTTCCTGCTTTCACACATTATACAGTACACAAAACACACGTAGATCCTCTCTTTCTGATTTCCATATCTGTGTTTCAACCAAAGCCTTACTGTGCATGGCCATAGCTTGCATGTTCTTGTAAATATTTACCTTCCATTGAATTAAAGTGTTTTTCTTACCTTTTGGCTTGAAGCGGCCCGTATCCATTAGCTGAAACGTCTAGTGCTATTTTTAATCAGCTGGAATACTGATTTTTCTCCCTTTGTCTCCTCCTCTTTGTCGCACTAACCCTTAAAGGAAAGAGCAGGGCGAGACTTCCTACAGGTTTGTACGACTCAACTTATGTTACAAAAACATTCAACATGTGATACGATTATAATCAAATGAAATGCGTGATAATGTGTTGTCACAACATCTTTGAAACTACTCCCATCTATTTAGCAGGCTAGTACATTCAATTTCTGAATTAATTCTGATCGCCATCAAAAGGTTGCAATATATGTATTTGTTGGTCTCTTGGCTTATTGGTTGTTTGATTTACTCAATGGCTGAACAAAAATGACTACATTGACCGTTTTACCACAAATCCTTAGTAAGGACATTGTGCCGATGTTAACCCTTTTATTTCATCTTTATTGGTATGACTTAACATAGTTTTGAGGATTTTATTACCCAGAATTGGAGGAGAAAAGCAAGAGTTAGAAACATTAAAACTGAGAGAACATTGCATTTAGCTGGCGCTTTTATCCAAAGCGACTTACAATAAGTGCATTCGACCAAGAAGATACAAACTTGAAGAAAACAGAATCATCTAAGTACATCAGAAGATACACTGCAGTGCTATGACATACATAATAAAGGGATAATTAGAACATGCGTCAATGTTATTGTTGACTGTTGAGAAATGAGAAGGTTTTATCTTCCACATTCTTTTTTACCACAGGTGTCAGATCAACATTTATTTAATATTTAAGTCACATTTTATATTACCTCTAGTGCAGTAAATGGTGTTGAGTTGAGAAAAGACAGGCTGGGGGATATAGGCCTACAGTTAAAGAGGCAGTTTTGTTTTACATCATACAGAGATGTACTGAGGCTATAAATCAAATTTAAGTACTGCAATGTCTATTTGAAATGCCCTCTTCCGAAGATACAGTCTGTTGCCTTTCCCAGATGTATTCATGCTTCTCTTGTTTTATATTCCTACATCAATTTTCATCTTTTTATTTACTCCATCTCTGTTTTTGTCTCTCCTTTCACTACTGTTTCCTCTCTGCACTTGACTTCCAGGCAGGGAAGGGTGTGTGTGTGTGTGTGCATGTGTGGTGTGTGTGTGTATGCATGCACACACGCCTTCAAAGACAGGAGTCTGTACCATGTCTGTACCATGACGCACTTTTTCCATTGGGATGGTATTTATATAACTCATCAAACACAAGTCTACGAGAGACAGACGAGAGTTGAAAAAAGGGGGAGGAGATGGGAGGAAGGGGGAGATGAGAAGGAAAAAAAACAGAGAGAGATTTGTGAGTTTAATTAGTATAGTTTTTACAGCACAGCGCTTCTTTGGCAACATTTGGGAGCCTTATATTGAGCCAGCAGCGTTTCAGGCATTTCAACTTAAAAAAAAAGTGTATACTTTAAGTCAGTGATTCTCAAACGTTTTTCAATAATGTACCCCCTTGAAAAAAAATGCAGCCAAGTACCCCCTGATCAGCGCAAAAACTATTTGTTAGGGAAAAAAAGCCTATATAAAGAGATACAGTACAGCCTTGCACCATCAGTGTCTGATTTATTAAAACAACAACCTTGTAACTGAGAAACACTTAAATGCTACATTTCAAATGTTTACAATCCATCACTAAATTCATGGCACACCAATTTTAATATCATGCAATAACACTAAGACGACATTAGTTGCATTGAACTGATCTTTTTAATAAGTTACAATGTAGTGAGAAACATGGGCTTGAGCTTCACTGAGGATCTTTGTCATTCTGACAGGGAGGCTAACTGCAGTTATTACACTTCGCGTTTTGAAATATGTGTAACTCTAGTCTATTAATATAAAACCCACACTGCTCAAACTTCGTTACTTTTCCTAAAATTGGTATATTTATCTATGTATCTATTTCCCATTAACATAAAAAAAAATCTCACGTACCCCCTGCAGTACCCCAACGTACCCCTAGGGGTCCGCGTACCCCCATTTGAGAACCACTGCTCTAAGTCAAACAAACAAACAAATGTGCTTTTTATCCTCAAACACAACACCATTTAATTAGGCTTTGTGCATCCAGCATTATCCTCCAGAAATCCCTCTGTTATAAGGGCTGCCTTTAATTACACTTTCCTATCTTAGAACATTTTGTGACTACAAGTCCAATTTGAACTAGTGAAATCGTAATTATGTGCTCTTTTATGACACTATTTATTTTCTGTATGTTCCCCTCTAAAGAGAGAACGCACACCACTGTGTGTTATTAGTGGTTTTACAGAGTGCCGGCAGCTCGGCGGCGGTAGGTGCCGCGGTGAACGGCTGGTGGTTCTCGTTTAAGCAGACTTGTAAACACCAGCAGTGGTAAACATGAGCCACACCACAAAGTGCTGCAGTGAAATCATGCTGAGTGTGTGAGGGCAGAAAGAGGCATGAAAGAAAGGATAATTGGTGGTCAATCGTTAGTTTATGTGTGTAGGCAGGTGTGTCTGCATTCTGAGTGTTTGTTCGTACAGTTCATTCACATTATACATACTTTTTCTTTCAAATGAAACTCTTGACTACTATCCGTCAGGTTACATTTGTGTTAGACAAGTAGCTGACTTCTCCAGCTGTGTTATGGGGTAATAAAAAACGCTTTATTACAAATGATGCTGCACTTAGGTTGTTTGTGCTCATAATAGTGCTGTTTAGGCAATAACAACGCTCAAATAGCAGCTTTGACACCAAACCGAGCCACATTACAATAAACTGGCAAACACCAGAGTTCATTTAAACCCCAACTTGAAAGTGAAAACAGCCTGTTTTTTTAAGATCATATTTACGTGTTGAAGAGCACAACACTGCATGCGCACAGTCAGAACGTTTCACACAACATGTCACAAAATAATCATTGTAACCATCATACATGATTTTTAAGGTGACTTTGATTACAGTTGGAGAGCTTGTCCCTGGTATGGTTGGATTATAAAGGGGCCCTATGATGCTCATTGTCAGGTTCATATCAGTATAGTGTCTCTACTCTGACATGTCTCCTTGCTTTAATGTTCAAAAAGCTCTTTTTCTCATACTGCCTGTGCTGCAGCACCTCTTTTCACCCTCTGTCTGAAACCAGAGCCCAGTCTGCTCTGAGTGGTTAGCTGGCCGGCTCTGGTGTGATTTGTCAACTGCTTAGAGATGTCCTGCCCGTACAAAGTTTTGGAGCACTATCCAATAGAACTGCAGTTCAATCAGGAGACACGGTTTTGATGTAAGAATACATATTTATTGCCAAGATACGCAAATGAATGTAATGGTGATTTTAGCGATTAGGCCCCGTTGTGCGGGAAGTATCATTCGGGAGGGTAGAACCGATCCGATGAAACCCCCCGGGGTCTAGACCCTGGTGGTGGTGAAGGATAGTTGGTTCGGTCTGAAGGGGAGGGGCTTAGTTTGACCCTGGATTCAGAGGGACGGGAAGTGAGAAGGGGTGGAGGAGGGTTGCGTCGAGTCACCTGAAATGACAGCTGTCAGAGGAGGAGAGCAGATTTAAAGGTTTAGCAGAGCGCTATGATAGGCTTCGTCCCCTACCTTTCCTCTGTGTATTTACTTTGCACCAATATTGACAGCAGAGAATTTTCTCTTCTCCTTTGTCTGCTCTTTTAATATCCTCCTCCTTTATTTTTCCATTCCCTTCTCCATCCTCCTCTAAGATATAGGAGGCTCTTCAGAAGGTATAACCGGAAATTTAGGAGGTACCCACAGTGCTACCCAGCATCCTCTCTGCTCGGCTCTTAGCCCAATTACCTGTGCTAATGACTGACTAATAGCATGGAGGAGATCAAAGGAAACAAATTCAACTTTCTTTTTACCTCAATACCTTTTCAGGAGATTTATTTTGATGATAAATGCTGCCTGCTGCTTGTCGAATGCAAACAATATCTTGTTTTGAGATAGATGAGGACAAAGATAATAAAAAGGTTTGTTGTTGAGATAAACCAAATTTAATAAAGTAGATATTATGTGCCGTCAACAGATTGCATGTTAGGCCCCTATCATCTAAAAACCTCTTAGTAGATAGGCATTGTGGGATGTTGCTTGTCAAGATCCTTTCATAATGTCTCCCTCTAAACGAGAACATGGCTACCAATGTATTGATTACAAATAATATTTAGTTCTGCCTTGAACACAGGAGAACATGTATTGTGAAGTGTTGATGACGTTCCCACACAAGTCTGGCACAGAAAAGAAAACATTGTAAAGATCTGCTGTAGGTTCTGCAAATCTAAATCTAAATATCCATCTTCCCAAAGTCCAAAGACAACTTATGTTAAAGTAATTGATCAAAACACTGAGGTTCATGAGAAACACTGACTTTTGGGACTATTTCGATTTTTTTAAATGTTGGTATTGAAAATGTATTTGAACCGTGCATCTTTCTCAATGACCTGCTGCACTGCCTGCTGGTGTATTTGCCATAGCAACAATATATTTTATTGGGTTCGATTGATTGAGGACTTTCTGCATCCCCACTGCACCATAGATCTAAACTACATGTGGATTAAAGCTTTTGCTTCTTATGCGGCTGATATTATGTGACACTCCGAGCACTCTCTGGAAAAGGAGAAATAAAACATGAAATTGTCTATGAAGATACTAGTCTCAAAATGTAATTTGGGTTGACAATTTATTAATGTCCCCATGCTTCACATATCACCTTAGAAAATCTCATTAACTCTGTTGTGAAAAGTGAACACACAGTATAATAGATTATCAGCTGATCGGCTAAGGATTGAAGCACTGAGGGTTTTTAATTTGGTTGCTTGTCGAGTATTCTGGCTGTTTTGGGCATGAATTAATGATGTTTGGGCTGAAAGGAAAATCCAGAACGTTGCCCTTTGTCTGAACTTTTCTTACTTTTGAGGACAAACATTTTGACAGCATCTCTTTCCTCTCTCTTCTTGTGTCCTCTCTACCAACCCCTGAACTTTTCCACTCACCCTCTTACTCTACCAATTATATCATATACTCACTTACCCCAATTTCCCTCATCTTCTCCCCCTCTCTTGCCCCATCCATCCTCATCCCAAAATGTTTTTGCTCCTCTCAATGGTCTTCTCCTTCTCTTCCCTCATTCTCTTCTTCTCCCCTCTTTTCCTTCCTCCCTCCCTGCAGTCAGAAGTTGAGTTTTAAGGAGCGGGTCCGTCTGGCGAGTCCTCGGGGTCAGAGCATGAAGAGCAGGCAGACGTCCGTTAGCGAACGCCAGCGCTCTTCCCCCGGTAACGAGGTGGGGGGCGGGGCCGATCTGATGGGAGGAAGCCCCGCCAAGGTGCAGAAGAGCTGGAGCTTCAACGATCGGACCCGGTTCAGACCCTCGCTGAGGCTGAAGAGCCAGACCCGCACCGCTGTCCCTGACGGTGAGCGGGACTGTGTGTCTATTTCCATGTTACTCTTAATGGCACCAAACCAACCATCATCTGACAAATTAACTTTTTATTTATTCCACAAATATATAACATACATGGAGATGTACATACAAATCACACCCGCCTCAGTTTACAGTCCACTCAAAGGTACACATTATTGCTCACATACTGCACACATACATACATACATAGCCTACATACATAGCCTACATACATACATACATACATACATACATACATAGCCTACATACATAGCCTACATACATACATACATACATACATACATACATACATACATACATACATACATACATACATACATACATACATACATACATACATACATACATTACCCCTTTCCTTCTAAGTCTTGGAAAATTGTACATAAATACAGACATTCATTTAAAATGCTCTGACCTTTCCCTGTCTGTACAAAACTTTTTTGACACAGAATGCTAGTCTTTACAATCACTTGCTTTGCAATCAATCTTTTAAATTTTCATATCCTAGACATCCCAGTCAGTGTATTTTTAAATAAACCAAAAGTCAATGTTTGCACCCTGCAGTTGCATGGATGTATTGTTATGACCTTAATTAGTGTTCTATGTATAGTGTATTTTGTGTACCGGTGTTTTGTTCTCAAATCTCCCCAAAACTCTTTCCCTTGAGTAACAGATGAAACTGCTGACTGTTTTAATAGCACCTTTATCTCTCCTGTTATTTCGCAGTATCATTTGTTTGAACTGATTTGATCACCTCTTATGTACTTTATCATTATCTCTCTCTACATCTTTTGCCCAATGCTCTTACTCTTTTTTTTCTGTGTCCCTCTCACTGTCCAGGTGTCCCACTCTCATAATTATTGGCAATATACCATACAGCGTCTATTCTCACCGTACGTAGCTGAGCTTGCAAAACGCTAACTATTCCCAAAGATCCTCTCCAAGCCTGACAAGCATTCTTCACCTGCTGAACGCCAAAAAAAGTATCAGTCTGAAACATAATTGATTTTGATTTTGCTCTGTCTATCTCAGTGGATCCAGGAATGACCACAGAGGATTCCTTTGATGAGCGAGGCTGCCATTGTGACGTTACAGTGGAGGATCTATCAGCTCCTCTCAAGGCTGTCATCAGAGCTGTCAGGTGAGAGACTGCTTGACAGTTGCAATTCACATAAGGCATCTTGGCTGATGCTCTCATCCAAAACGTCTTTAATTCAACAAAATAATCCAATTATTTGAGGACTAACCAGGCAGCGAAGCAGATTCACTACTGTGGAAATACCCTCCGACAATTACAAAAAAGCAAACTTGCATCCATATACTAATAGAGAGGCGAAGTCCCGCCCTTATTTCGGAAAAAGCATGTATTCAATCAATCAATCAATCAATGTTTATTTATATAGCCCAATATCACAAATGTTACATTTGTCTCAGTGGACTTTACAGTTTGTACAAAATATCAGTATGACAATACGACACCCTCTGTCCTTAGACCCTCACATCGTACAAGGAAAAACTTCCGGAGAAAACCCACAGTTTAAAGGGGAAAATGGGAGAAACCTCAGGGAGAGCAACAGAGGAGGGATCCCTCTCCCAGGACGGACAGACGTGCAATAGATGCCGTGTGTAAATTGAAAAGATAATACATTTGCAACATAGGTAGTCCAAATGTTTGGAAATGCATGTGTGTATAATAGGAAGATGAATCCACGAGGATATCCATCCAGGACCTATGATCCAGGACCACAGCCACGACTCAAGATCCAGGGCTCGCGATCCAGGACAGAGGAGCGCAGGATCATCCATGACTCCGGATCCCGGCGTATATAGACACCAAAAAGAAAGACATTTGGGGAAGCTGGGTTAATCGGAACATGAGAGTACACAGGTATAGACAGAGAGAAGGAAGAAGTAAGATGTCCCCCGACAAACTAAGCCTATATCAGCAAAACTAGGGGCTGGATCTAATCAGCCCTAACTATAAGCTTTATCAAAAAGGAAGGTCTTAAGCGCACTCTTAAAAACGGATAGGGTGTCTGCCGCCCGAACACAAACTGGAAGCTGATTCCACAAATGTGGAGCTTGATAAGAAAAGGCTCTGGCTCCCATTGTACTTTTAGAGACTCTAGGAACAACCAACAACCCTGCATTCTTGTATTGAAGTCAATGGGGAGAGAAAACTTATCAAATCAAAGTTTATTTATAAAGCACATTTAAAAGCGATTTTTGGTCGGGCCAAAGTGCTGTACATGTAATAAATACTACAATCACATAAAAACACATTACTACAATCACAATAAAAGACAATAAATTACAACAGATATATAAAAAACACAGGGAAAAGTCAGGAGTCATGCTCTGCTCTGACTAAAAGGCCAGGGAGAAGAAGTGTGTTTTAAGAGTAGATTTAAAAACCCCTAGTGTCTGGGCCGACCTCACATGGACCGCAGAGTATTTAGAGCCTGGGGCCAGCTGCTGCGAAGGCTCGGTGACCTCTGGTTTTAGCCTGGTCTTGGGCACTATCAGCAGCAGCTGGTCAGCAGACCTTAAAGCTCTGGCTGGGGTGTAGCGATGGAGGAGATCGGCTATATAGGCCAGAGCCAGCCCATTTAGGGCTTTAAAAACAAATAAAAGGATTTTAAAATCTATTCTGAACCGAATTGGAAGCCAGTGCAGTGAGGCCAGAATTGGGGTGATGTGGTCACGCTTTTTGTGGCCAGTGAGTAGACGTGCAGCTGCATTTTGGACTAGCTGCAGGCGTTTAATTGACGCCTGGTCCATACCCACGTACAGAGCGTTGCAGTAGTCCAACCTCGAGGTAACAAAGGCGTTAATAACCCTTTCCAGGTCTTTAAAACATAAAAAACTACTTGGTCTTGGCCAATAGTCATATTTTTAAAAAAAAGCAGGTTTTGACTACGCTGCTGACCTGTTTATCAAATTTAAAAGTGCTATTGAAGGTCACTCCAAGGTTCGTGACAGAGGGGAGGATATTATTTTTGAGGGAGCCCAGAATATCAACCTGGGAGTCTGAAGGTTTGGAGTCCAAAAAAGATAACCTCAGTCTTGCTCTCATTGATGTTGAGGACATTTTGGCTCAGCCAGGATTTGATCTCTGCTAAGCAGTCCATCAATAGCTGTAATGAGTTGTCATTTGAACTTATCTTTCGATCCCGTTTGAATTGTGCCACGAATTACACATATGATGTTTGTCAATCTTAAAAAATAATTTCCATGTCAAAAAAGTCAGTTTGTCGTAAAACTGTTGAAATATAAGACTATGAAAAATACGCAACTAGAAAGACTACAAATCCCAGAGTCCCGGTCCCGCATGCTGGCTCTTACGAACCGACTAACTCCCCTTGTGTGTATGTACAGCTCTCGACATGCCCAGACTTGGAGTGATTTTCACCTTTTTTAATACTTTCCGCCTCATTCTGAAAGAAAGAAGTGAAATGTTTCAACGTGACGGCCGTCTTGGTGTGTGGTGCGAGACGGGAGATGTAGGTCATTTAGCGGTTTCACACAAAAAAAAGTGTTACTTCACAGTTTTACGACACATTTAAAAAAAAATTGACTTGCAAAATAATCTTTTAAATTGACAAACAAATGTGTAATTCATGGCACAATTCAAATGGACTTCAATACATAATTTTTCCAAAATAAGGTCCCATGGAGCTCCCCCAGAAAGGGAGGGACTTCGCCTCTCTATATCAAATGGGAAACAGAGAGAACTTAACTTTTTAATATATGAATGAGACAGATTAAGGGAAAGTTGCTTCTCTTAAAAATAACGTTTTTAACCAATACCTTTCATCCTTTGCAATATCCTAGGAATAAGACCTGCCCTTTGTCAAAAAACAAACCAGTCAGGGCTGATTTTTTTAAGCTCCTGCTTTCCTTTGTGGCTAACAATAGATGGGCACATTTTAATCACATTTTGAATAATTTAAATTCATTTATCTATCTCAACGATTTGATGTCCAAATGAAAAACACATTTTGTGTTCATTTTTGACATGATTTACATCCCTCTCCTGATTTTATTATATTTCCAATACCCATAATATTAAGTATGCTAAGCTATTTGCAATATGCCAAAAATACCAGGATGTATTAATGCATCCGGTCAGATTTTGCAGCATGCAAGTCTGGCATGCTTTTCTCGCTATTTTTGAATAATATAGGTCATCTTATTGATTAGTCCACACCTCTTTGAGGGTGTTTTTTCCCTAAGTTGTTTCCATTGATCTTGAAACCAGAGCAACAGCTCACTGAACCGCTTAACCATTGATCATTTCAGTGACCTGTGTGCACCTCTAATGATTGGCTATTTGGTATCACACATAATATAATACTGTCTGTAGTTGAGCGCTTGTTAAAGAATATTCCTATTGATTTATTGGCTACAGTCTTTCTTCATGGGCTGGTTATTATCTCTAGCTATTGATGGAACAGTCCATGAATGATTAAGCGAGCAAGACATGAATCCAACACTGTTTGAAAATACCAGCAGCTAACAGAAGGATGCAATGCTGTAGTGTTGGGTCAATAAGCTATACATGTGTTTTGTATTTTGGTTTAACACACCGAAACAAGCTACAGTTCATCATCATAGATACCATTTTTTGAAGAAGGCTCTTAACATGTTTTGTTGAGTAACAGATCATTTAACACAACACAGACCCCTGTCTTTCTTCCCTCCACTATACTTTTAATTATGTATGATACCATTTTTTAATTCACTCCTGAAAGCAGAAGTTCACACGATCTTTGGTTCCCTCAAGCAAAGCCTTTTCTCTGATTTTCCCCTCGTATCTACACGACCCCCTGCGGGGATGGAGGATTTTCCTGGGAGGGGTTTCAATCTGTTTTCTGTAGCAGACCCTGATCTCTTACACTGGCACCGGCACCCTGTGAGCAATGTTTTTCCAACTGGCGCCAACTGACTCTCTCACTTCATCGCTTCTTCTCACATTTTTCACCTCTCAAGAAAGCAGATTTTTCCTTTTAGAAATAACAGATTGGTTAGAAAAATGAATTTTAGTTCAAATGTGATGTTGTTGCTATCATCTTCTGCAGGTTATTAAACATTCAGATATCCTTATACATTTAAAATTCGGCCTTTATCATTGATATCACTTGTTTTACTGGATTATACTCCTTGTCTGATGCTTATAATTAAGCAGTGTGTAGCTATTCTGCTTTAAGACATGTCAGCAGGACTGTGTTAGAAATAAAAGCTCTAAAATGATTGAAAATGAAAGACATAATATCAGTATTAATTGCATTTTTTTTCTCCTACTGATCCTCCTTCATTAATTTCATTCGTTTTTTAACATTAGTCTGTAAAACAATTTCTATTTATTTTGAATCTCCCCAATTATATTAAATGTTTCCTCCCTTATTGCTCACCCTGATTATATATGTTTTAGTGTTGTACCTCTCTATTTATATATATTTAAATCACCCATACCATATAATTGAACCAACCACAAATCTGCGCATAATTACTTGCTATATGTGAAATAAAATACATTTTAAATTGATCATATGGCCGGTTTTTCTATTATATTCTCAACACATATACAGATGCTGCCCATATGGAACCACCAATCTGGATACGCAGTTAAAAACGAGCAATACAATGTACTTATGGCGCGTTTCCACTGCAGCGGGTAGTTCGCTTTAAGCGTGCCGAGCCGTGCGGGGCCCGTTTTTGGTTGCGTTTCCACTTGGCCTAGTTTTGGCCCGGGGCTACTTTTTCACCTTTTTTCTGGCCCGACTAAATCGTGGTTCTAGGGCCAGGAACAAACAGGCTGAGTCGGGCTGAGTATGCTAAACTAGAGAGAGAATCGCTGACAAGGGGGCTACAACTACAACAAGATGAACATATTTGACCGTGATTTAATTGTAATACACGTTTCAAAATGATGCCGAAGTAACAACATACTGATACCGGTTAGTAAAAACCATGAATTAATGCTTTGACAAGTCTGCAGACAGACGCCAGGCGAAAAACCCTTTTAAAATGCGTGTTTTCTAAATGGAGCTTGGCTAAGCTAACGTTATATATGCTCCGACCGTCCACACTCACAACAACGGCCTATACAGACATAAATAAACCGGCGACTGTATTCGCCATGACACAGGCAGTCTGTGGTTTGTACTTGTTTAACTTTTGTCTAGTTTCTGAACAGATATGAAGAGCTGTGAGCTCTGAGTGCTAAGAGCTAACGGCTGTGTTGTTTTTCTGGGGCTCTCATTGAAGATGACGTCACGGCTCCGCCTACACTGCGTTACTATAGTAACTACCCCAGTTCCTAAACTGTAATGGAAGCGCAGCATTAAAGTGAGCCGGGCCTAATAAGGCCTAACCCAACCGAGCGAGGCCGAGCGAGGCCTGCAGTGGAAACGCGCCATTCACTGTTACTTAGCTATACTGAACATTTATGTATTTTCAATTATCCTCAGTCATTGCACATGCTGTAATGACCTGCAGTCGTATCTTTATTCTTTAGCACTAGTTGGGTTGTTATTAATCTAAGGTTGCTCTACTGCAGTAGTCGCCAACCAGTCGATCGAGAGTGTGGTGCGGGTAGATCGCGGACCGTTAAAAAAAAAAGTAACAAAAGAAAAAAAAATCAAATAAAAATAATAATGTTTGAAAAATACGTTTTTAGATGTAAACCTATCATCCACCACCCCGTTAGCAGGTGCCACTTGATTTACGTATATTTGAGACACCTCAATAATATAATACATTAACCATGCTTTACGTGAACCTCATCATGACACAAGAGAGGACGGCAGGACTGCAATTTCGCGTGTTCAGTGAATACAACAGAGGCAAGTCACCAGACCAATCAGAGAGTTGCATGGAAATACACGTGTGCTTGTGTCATTCAAGCTGGCTCAGAGGGAAAGAGGGAGAGAGAGGGACCGGTGCTAGCGGGGACCGTGTTGTTAGCATCTGGTTAGCTAGCTGCACTAACGGACATAAGGAGCTGTTTCCACAACAAGCTGGAGGAGAGTCCTCCCCTGTCATTCTGAGGGGCTCAGGTGAGCTAAAGCAGTGTTTTTCAAAGAGGGGGCCCCGACCCCCCGGGGGGCCGCCAGGGGGGTCACGCAAAGTTTGAGGGAAAGGGGAATTTTTTTTTTTTTTTAGTTACATTTTTATTTTTATTTTTAGACGTTATTAATAACTGCATATCTATCAATCTCTGTGTCTGATGCCAATCTTTTAATATTTTTTATTTATTAATGTTTTGTTTTATTTTTTTGTTTTTAAATCACACGACCACCCTTCAAGCCAATCAGAATCGAGCTGCCGCTACTGAGAGTGAAACTGAGTATCTGCTCAGCTTCTGGAGCAAGTGAGAGCTAGTGAATATTTCGCTCTGCAGCTGGATGAGAGCACAGATGTAGCAAATATTGATGTTTATATGAATATAAATATGTTTATTGTTAATATTACTGTTGAGTATTATATATCATATTATTAAGGCATAAGTAGCTTTAAAAAATGCCAAAAATACATGTTAATTGTTCATATTACTGTTCAAAATTATATAATATTATAAAGACAGAAATCACTTTAAAAATGCTTTAAAAATATGTTTGCTGTTGATATTACTGTTTAATATTGTGTTAAGAATGTTTATAACAGAAGACACAATAAATGTAATGAATGACAAACAAAAGATAAATACAAACATTTTTTAGAAGAATAACTGATTATTAATTATTAATACAAATATATATATTAAGAAAATGTATTAAGCTGTATGATTAATTTTTCATATTTTCCATCATAATGTACTCATCATTTAAAAAATAATTGCAACAGGGATAATGCTCTATATGGGGTCCTTGGCATGGCAACGTTTGGGAACCCCTGAGCTAAAGGACTCTCTGAGTGTTTAGAACGGGTTTGTCACAAATTATTCAAAAGATTATTTCCGCGACACACCTTCATATGATCATTATAGTTATACAAACAATAAGAGAATAAATGAAAAACAGGTATGAAATACTATATGGCAGTAAAACAAGAATACAGTTTAAAAGGGGAGTGATTTGTAAAATATCCATAAAGAAAAAGAAAATCTGTTTACAGTTCTGTTTCATATGGGTGCTGAGAGAGGTATCCATAGATCTCTTCATGTTGCTCTCAAAGTGCACCAGATTGATGCTTTCAACTTCAATATTTAAAAAAAAATCTCCTAGAGGAGGTGAGGTCCGCCCCCCACTCGTAAAAAAATAGCACTTTACCCCTGCCTATATGCCGTGAGCTGATTATGGAGCCTTCATTGTAACAGTAATTCAGATGCAATTAGCCTATATAAAAGGCCTCAAATTGGAAGCACTGTCTGGGCCGTCTTTTTCACTCAATTCTGCAATAGGTAGATCTCGCCTTTCACCTAGGCCGAGGTCGGTGATCTTGGGCTTAAAAAGGTTGGTGACCACTGCTGTACTGGCTACGCCTATACATTATATTACATTTAGCTGATGCTTTTATCCAAAGTAACTTACTATAAAACTGTTCATAGTGTCTGTGTCAGGTATAACACAGAATGGCCCAATCCAAATTGGACTTAGAGTTATCAAACGATTTCCCTTGAAAAAAATGTAAATCAGCATTTCAAACAAATAAAGGGAGAATTTTTCGCAATGTCCCACCCCCCCTAAACGCTTACATGTTTGGTGATAATATCCACTTCGTTATAACAGTGACTATTCTGGATTCTCATCAAATTTGCAGATTTGGAAAGATGTTACATGTTGAATTTGTTTCAGTTTGTCATTAATTGAAGTCTATCAAACCACCTTTATCTCCAGCTCTGTTTCTCTTCCTCGGGCAGCCGGAGCCCAGGGCTTTCCCAGGGTGTCGGGTTGAGGGCTGGATCCCCCCACCCCTGTCAGGACTGTTTTTACAGAGGGTCATCTGTCACCGTGGTTTCCATTTATCCAGTGAAAAACACAGGCAACTGTAGAAAAGCAGAAGTCGCCGGGGAATCCAAATGCAACGAGTGTTTGGATCCTCTTACCTGTATCAATATTATCCACCCAGCAGCGGCTCTGTCATTCAGTTTGTATGTTATGGATTTGACAAGCGAAGCAGGGAACTTTAGTTTCCCGTTAGACACTCATTGAGGTATTTGAGATTTCAATAATGTTTTCATTTTACACTCCAGAGAAAGATCAACAAGTGATATGTAACGAGGATCATTTCAAACCAGCTGCTACCATCTAGTGATCGGTTGGAGTTATTACGTCCTTACCTTTCAAGCTTGTTTTTACTTTGACGTTACTAACTTCAGCCTCCTTCTTCCTCCTTTTGCTCCCCGTGTGTTTGTATCTGTGTGTGTGTAGGATCATGAAATTCCACGTGGCAAAAAAGAAGTTTAAGGAGACGTTGCGTCCGTACGATGTGAAAGACGTCATAGAGCAATACTCTGCCGGACACCTGGACATGCTCTGTCGCATCAAGAGCCTCCAGACTAGGTAAGCACTCGCACACACACACACACACACACACACACACACACACACACACACACACACACACCACACACACACACACACACACACACACACACACACACACATACACATCACATACACATACACATACACATACACACACACACACACACACACACACACACACACACTTTCAGTCAACTCCACAAATCATCATTATCATTTGGACGTTTGTACCCATTTTTTTTTTACCTGAATTTGCTCTGTTTATTATCTTCATTGGAGGCTGTTGCTGCAAATGTTGTTCTGTTTAAACGAAGTGAACCTGCTTTTACCTCTATCCTACTTCCTGCTATGTATTCACCATCCACTGTGTGTGTGTACTGTATATGTACAAACGTATGTGTCCCCTCTCTCTCCCAGACTAGACACTGTAGTGGGGCCCCCTCCGAGGCCTTTCAGCAGCCGCGTCAAGACCTTGTCCTCTCCCTCCCTGCATTTATATTACAGCCAGGCCCGGAGGAAACAGTCTGCACCGGGGTTAGACACACCCCGTCCTGATCTGCCCGACAACTGCCTCCCCGCTAACATAACCAAAAATGTGATGATGTCGCACCTGGGTCAAGCAGCCTGCAATCACATGCTTTTGAACCTATGGCAATTCAGTGCACCCTTATAAATGCACAGGGTGGCAATAGTCAAAGAAGCTTTTTTTAAATGTATTTTAACTCGGATGTATTCCTGTTTAACTGCCAAATTGAGATTACAAAGGCATACAATTTATATTATGTTAAGCCTACTTTACTCTGAGATAGGTGGGGTTTACACAAACTAAGAACTGATCAGCACATGGGAAGTTTATGTACACTATTTTACCAATTTGGCTGCTTTACCCAGGTCAGGTTGAAGAGGTCATCAAGAAGCTCACACAATGGGTTATGGATAGTTTACCAATACAAAAAATGATCTTTAAAAGACCATAACTATTTAATTCTGATGTAAAAATGTTGGTAGAGCCTGGGCCTTATTCCTACCATAGTTTTCAACTAAGGAGGTGATCCTTTATCACACCATTTTATTCAACATAATATATTAAAGATATAACTTATTTATAGCACCCTGGAAACTGATCCTGATCCGGATTTGAGCACTTTGAAAA